TTCAGCAGGGGGTGCTGAGTCAGTCTCTTCAGAGGGCATTTAGAGGGCATGTCCGACATCAGTGTGGTCGGTGGATGGGAGGGTAAGACGGGCGACAGGGACCACAGTCAGGAAGCTGCCACATGAATCTGGGAAATGGATGGAGAGCCTGGCTAAGGCACTGGCCAGAGGAACAGGGAGGAGGAGTGGGACTTAGGAAACACTTGTCTGGTCTACATGGCAGGACTCAGTGACCAAGTAGCAGAGCATCACTCTGTTTTCCAGACTGGGTGGGCCATGCTGCCTGCACCGAGGGAAATGACAGCAAGAGGCACACAGCAAGAGAGGGAAGCTCATGCCGGAAGAGAGTTTTCCTCAAAGTTGAAATAAACTTTGTTCTGAACCTTCCCTCTAAGAATATTGGAGAAAATTAACCATTCAAGGGACATCTCAGGGGTCTGGGCCATCTGGTTGGGAAAGCAGCCATGTTGCCCAGTTAGCATATTTTTGTGATTACAAAAGTATGGTTCTAATCTAGTCCTCCGTGCCTTGGAGGGGATGGAAGTAGCGTTGCTAAAGAGTTACCTGCAGTTTGATGAAGATTTGATTGTCAAAAATCAGCATTAACTGCTATTTCAGGTTGAGTGCAAGAAGCCATAACCAGCGCCGGCAATAACAGAGAAAGTCCTTTCGACCCCGGCGAGCCAAAGCAAGCTTTGTAAAATGAATCTAACAGAAAGCATGACAGCAACATTCTCCGTTTGTATTTGGGATGAAAGTGCAGAAATAAAACATACTCAACCATCTTCACTGGTAAAATTTCAGAGACAGACAGTGTTTACAGTTACAAAATCACAGCAGAAAGATCACACCTAACTTAAAGTGTCAGAACTCAAATAAGTTTCTAAAAACAAATAAAACTCATTTTCTGTACTAGGTACAGCTTGCCATGATGGTGTAAGAAACCTCCATTTCTGGGAACAGCAACACATGTTTGGGTGAGGAACAAAAGTACCTGCCAAAACCACTCTGGAAAGAAAAAAAAAAAACCACTCCCAGTTTGTTGGCCCCTGAAATAAGTAAACAGTTAGGAAACCATGACATGGAGTAACAGATATATATGCTGCAGAACCCCAGTTTGATGAATTAAAGGTGTCTGTTTGCATCAGCAAGTTCTGACGCAGGCCCAAGCCCACAGCCCCCCGCGCCTGGGCTGAGGCAGTGGCCTCCGCCTCGCCTCCTGCTTCCTCCTGGCCCCCTCAGTTCAACCTGAATGCAGCACCTGCATATCCTGCAGAGCAGGGGCCGGGCATCTCCCTCAGCTCCGGCTGCCATGACAAAGCACCACAGCCTGGGTGGCTCCAACAACAGAGAGTTATTTCCCACAGTTCTGCAGCCTAGAAGTCGGAGACCAGGTGTCAGCGTGGTTGGATTCTTGTGAAAGCCCCTCCCTGGCTTGCAGGGCCGTGTCTTCCCTGTGTTCTCACATGGTGCACAGCACAAGAGCTCTGGTCTCTTTTTCTTCTCATAAAGGCACTACTCCCATCATGGGGGGCCCTCCCTCATGAACTCATCTAAACCAAATCACCTCCAAAAAGCTCTACCTCCAAATACCACTGTATTGGGGGATAAGGCTTCAATATATGAATTTAGGGGCAGGGGAGGGAGACATGTCACATAACACCAGGGCACATCGCTCCTTTTGAAACCAATGTCCTCAAAAATGCCAATGTCCTCACCCCAGCCACCGGGAGCTATACCAGGTCTTCACAGGACAGTCACTGATGGCCCAGCCATGCTCAGGAAGTCTACAAGGGCATTTCTGGGTGGGCACAGGAACTGGAGGAGGGTGTGAGAGGGCACTAACGGGGGGTGGGGGGTGGGACAGGCAGGAATGCCAGGCAGCCCTGCCCAGCCAAAGATCACCCCATATCTGCAGGCTGTTCTGATGTTCTGCCAGACATTTATACGGGTCAAAAATTTTTAGTAACTACCTGAGCCTACAACTTAACTGCTTTACATAAAAAGACAAAAGCACTTTTTCTGCATAATTTTATACAACTGAATTTCTTCAGAAAGTGACTACTGTCTAAGTCAGGTAAGGCTGTACCTTTGTTTGGAACGTTATCAAGAATTGCTCACCATGCTGGAAATCCGGTTGCCAGAGGTTTCTGGTACCCCAGCCTGCATTTCTATCAGTCTGCCCTGTGCTTGCTCATCGGCTCAGTGTCAGTAGAGATCAGTCCGTGTCTAAGCATTACATGTTAAGTTACATATGTATGACTAAAAACTACTCGCCTATTATTTCAGTTTGCCAACTGAGCAATATACATATTTCTTTTTAAAACTGTGAGTGTATGTAGGTTAGTGTCTATAAATCTCATTCAAAGACAGTAGTGAGGGCATTTTTATCATAAACATTATGTAAAAGCAGCGCAGCATTATGTCCCTACATGACTGGCTCTCTGCCATGCCAAGCACACGCCTACCTATGCCCCCCTGCAGGGCCTTCGGCCTGAAGACTCCCTCCCCTCCTTGACTCTTACTCAAGTGACGCCTTCTCAGTGGGGCTGGCCCTGTTTAAATCGCAGCCCCACCTCACCCCCAACCCTGGCGACCTGGCACCCCCTCCTCCATTTCTCCGCTTTATTTTTCTCCATGGCTCTCAGCACTGCTACGTCATTTACTCCCTTATCTGTTTCCCCATTAGAATTCAAGTTCTGTGAAGGAAAGGACTTTTTCTATTTCCTTCATTTATGTCCTCAGGGCCTAGAACAGTATCTGGATACTTTTATAATCTATTTGGTATTAATGGTTTACAAATACCAATTCTGAAATCTCTAGTTATAATTCCAAGTTTACAATTGACTAAAGGCTTGGGGTCTCCACACATTTCCATCTGTAATCTTCGCACAGGAATATATATATCGAGGCTGGGAGTGTGTGTGTGTGTGTGTGTGTGTGTGTGTGTGTGTGTGTGTACATACACACACATATACATACATACATACATACCGGTAGCCAGGGCTGCATTTCATTAAAATAATCCAGTTTATTCTCATAAAAACAATGAGATTTACAATATATTGAATATTCCTTGAAATCATTAGAACTTAATTGGATTTCTCTAAATCTTCCTTTGCATCTTTTAACTCCTCTCTGCTCTGCCTAAACCCGCTACCTGCTTTGCTCCCTTCCAGGCCTCCTCCCGACTGAAATCCAATTCCCCCACCAAGGCAGGCTCAGCTCTGCCACCCCAGCTGCAGGAAGCCTTTCCTGCCCCCCTCCCACCAGCAGCTCCCGGGACCTCTCTGACACGGTTACAACATGCTCTGTGTCGAAGTTCTTTGTATTTGTCACTTCTCCCCACCAGACTGTGGGCTCCTTGAGGGCAAGGACTATCTTTTTCTTCTTTGTGCCCCCACAGTGTCTTTCACAGACCAGCTTCTGTAAACACGTGTTAAGTTAAAAAAGAGGTGAATGCTTTAAGCTCTAAGCTACTGGAGAGAAAAGATTGATTCTTATGTTTGGCCAAGGAAGAAACAAGACAGGACACAGTTTTGCCGGATACAGCTGAGGCTACTTCTAGAAACTAAGACTTTGAGACAACCAATTTAAAGTGATACATACAGGGAAAAGCAGAGCAGAACAATGAAGTGGCTTGGGGGCAAACATGCCCTGCCTAGGAATGCTGACACTGACGGGCCAGCCCTAATACAACAGTAGAAATGTGTATCGTAATCCTTTTGTACCTTGTTGATTTCCATCTTTGGACAAAATCAGAACTTACGAAATTTAAACAACTCTGTTTTTGTTTTAAAAACATTAAAAGGCTTAAACATGAAGGACAGACAGTACAGACAATAACATTCTGTAATGCAATGGCAAAACCCAGCTCTACCCTCTTCTTGTGGCCACTGACTCCTGAGACCTGGTCCTTTCTGTTGCTTAAAGTTCTTGCTGCTCCACGCAGGGCCCAGACAGGTCAGGCAGGGCAGTCTCTGGGACCCCAGCTGCCACCCTCTATGGATGGTAATGAGGCTTGCTGCTGAACTGACGAGATGACGTGTGACCGTCTGACAGAGGCCCATATTTTCCCATCTAAAATACTATTTTGGAACATTTTATTAAGGAAGGGAAAACACTTGCTGTGCTCATGAAAATAATGAGTCACAGATTAGGGACGGAAGAGAACATGTTGCTCAGACCCTCATCCAGGACCAAATGAGAATCATTACTGGACAGAATAATAGAGACGACACGGAAAGCCACAAATCCTGGGATTTGCATGGGCTTTACCTGTGAAGATTACTTTGGAAATCGAATACAATCGCCCAGCTGGAGAACTCACTCTGCTATCACCAGGAAGATGAGACCATAAAATGGAAGGGTGGGAGATTACTCAATGAGAAGCAAGCTCAGTCTTTTACTTCCTTCCATGTAAAGAACCAGTAAAGTGGCTAACTTGGATGAATGTCAAATCTTACAGCCCTCAATTACTGCAGCCTCTATAAAAACAAATGAGTCATTTGAGGTTAGAGAAGATAGCTTCTTATAATTATGATGACAAGATTGTAATAATTAGAGCTTAACAAAAAACGTAATGCAGCATGTCTTTTTGTAAAGACCAAGCCAGAACTATTAATAGAAAAGCCTAGAACCATTTAAACATAAAATGTGGTAAATGGTGATGGAAGGAGACAGCCAGGGGTGGTGAACATACAATGCAATATACAGATGATGTGTTATAGAACCGTACAGCTGAAACCTATATAATTTTATTAACCAATATCACCCCAATAAATTCAATTAAAAAAAGAGTACCTCTTTAACTCACGCACTCAGCGGATAATCACAATTGAAACTGTAAACAAATCTTTGAGCCCTGTCCTCTCCTTGACTCCATTATTCCTTTTTATTTTATTAAATGACATACAGCTCTTTTTCTCTTTTTCTGGAATATGTTTCCTTGGAAGCAGCTGAGCAAATGTCCATGATACCCAGGACTAGATCCAAATTACCTTCTTTTAAAGTCCATTTGATGGAGCCTGTCCTCTTGCTCACAGCATGCAAACTTCCATCCAGGGTTGAGACAAACAGCAAGGTTTCAGGAAGCGTCACTGTGCTGGCCCTTGCAAAAATCTGCAACAAGATGGGGCAGAACCTTCATGGTCAATGTGATTCTTGGCCTTGGCTGTGTCCCACCACAGACTCATCCCCTCCCCCTTGAAAATTTCCCAAATCCACCGTCTTAAGAGATGAAGAAACTGCGGTTGGAGAGCCAAAGTTCCCCTCAAGGGCACCTATTTAGGAAACAACTGAGTCAGACGAGAACCCAGGTCACCTTATCCTAATTGGCAACCCTGCCTGCAGACAGACAGGATTATGACCCAACATGACAAGGACAGGAATTTTGAAATAATCCATTGAAACAGAGGTAGAAAGTATACTCAACTTTCTAACTGACTTCCTCCTCTTAGTTATACTTCACTTTCTAAAACTGGGCCATCTTGTAAGACTCCATGATAAAGACGAACGCCAACATGCCCGCATACACCCATACCCACTTACGAAATGTTAGAGAGCAGAGAACTAGAGGAAAATGTTTGAAGCAAAATAGGAAAAACAGTTCTCATTCTATAAGGAGTTTATGTATTAATAAAACACCAAGATTTCAAAGAGACACGTTATCAAAGAAAATGAATAACATAATCCAAATTACTCCTCACTTATACTCAAAATACAATTTAAATCGAAATGTATTTTTTGTTAAAATACATACAGTATTTTATGTGTTTTAAATATATTGTAAAATTTTTTTAAGGAAATAGCTAAAGACAGTGAAATTCACTTTCTCATCCGTTGCTGGTAGCAATGAAAATTGTAAGTTAGCACAGTCTTTCTGGAAAGCATAAAAATGCTCATATTTTGGTCCTATAATTCTACCTCTATATCCTAAAGAAATAATTACAGACATTAAGAAAGTTCTGTGTATAATGATACTCATTACATCTCATTTATAAAGAACAGCAAAACAAAAAACTAGAAAGATCCAAATTTCCAATAATATCTAAATGGCTGAAATAAATTATGACCCAATTAAACATTATGTAATCATTAAAACAGTATGTGGAAAAATCTACTACAATATAGAAAAATACTTATATACATTATCACATTAAAAATATAGAATCCAGTTTGATGTACAATAGTTATAATCACACTGAACAAATCTTTTTGGTCTGCCTGTCCTGCAGCTTTGTCAGGAATTAATTGCACCTCTGTCTGCACAGTTTCCCTGGGAGCAGCCTGTTCGCGCGCATGCATGAGCGCAAGTGACTGTCTGTGCGCTGCACACGTGTGCAGGTGATAGCTGGTAAGGTTTCCTAGGAACATGCTTTTGAGGTACGTGCCCTTTCAGCAATGCCACCTTGTAATGAGACTGTCTCTTCCTTTGTCATTATACTGTCCATAAATTAACTGGTTCCTGCAGGTGTTGAATTAAAAACTGGCCAACTTGCTTATGCTGAGACAGTTTGAACTTGGGCACAAATGCTATTATAAAAAGATGGCTGGCATTTAGCACTAAATCTAAAAGATTGGGTGGCTACTTGTGCATGGGAGTCTGACTCCAAAATACCTGGTCATTCTTGGTAAGAGCCAGGATGATGCCCAGTTAATCCCTTAAAAGGGAAAGCCCAGGGGCTCCCTCCAGGACAGTCTGCGGTGGCAGGACAAACACTCCAGGCCCTGCATTCCTTTTCCATGGCAGAGACCAACTGGCAGAGGGGGCGATGCCACTGCCAGAACCTGGCTCATCCTACCTCCTCGTGGGCCTGGCCCGCAGCGGGAGAAGATCCGCCGTTACTTTGTCCAGGGCCAGGGCCCACTCACCTGGAATGGGAGACACAATAGCAAGCTTCATCTCTGCCTGCTGAGTCTGTCCTCTGGATAAAGCCTCGAACCTGAGGAGGAGGAATCTGCTTTTAATTCTACCTTTGGCCCTAGGAAGTCAGTTTTTAGTTAGACTGGCTGGGAGAACAGAAGCCTTGGACGTGGTGCCTGCCCTAGCCGGGAATCCAGAGATTATGCATACCAACTGTTTTGGGGGTACTTAAAATTATTTTAGGCCACAGGGTATAGGTGATGACAGGCCTCACCTGGACCTGTTCACACCTGAACCAGAGGCGGGCGTGCTGCCTGGAGCACCTGGCCTGGAGAACAGTGGCCCAATGACAGGACCACTGAGGCTGCAGCTGACCTGGACTTAGGGCTGCCTCCCCTTGAGAAGGGGGTGAGTTTGCAGCTTGATGTGAGATTGTCGGGATTATGTTAGGTCGGGGCAGTTTGGGGATGGAATAAATGAAAAGGGAAGACGCATGCATGCCTGGGGGCCAAGAGATGGAAATCCCTGCTAAGCACCCTCCCTCCCCCCACCTATCAAACAGTTACCCCAGCAACTGCCATTTTGTACACTAGGTCTCAGGATCACACAAGAATTGGGTTGAGCTCTTTAGATGGATGAAGTGGTAAGAAATTAAACTTGGGAGATTTCAGTGAATATGTTTTCCTCCAAGTGGCAAACAACTGGGCGAGAGAGAAAGACAAAGGCAGAAACGGAGAGAAGAAGCCTGAGAAGAAACACAGCTGAAAGACTGGGAGATTGCAGCCCGGCTCCCACTGATCCTCATGCCTGGCCAAGATCCTGTCCTTGGGCTCAGAGACGCCCAATCCTTTCAATAAATTCCCTCCTCGCTCAGGTTTGCTGGAACTAGGTTTCTGTCACTCACAACGTGTGCAGTCCTAACACACACACTCACACACACACACACACACACACACACACACACACAGAGTGCAAATGTAAATGGATACATATACAAAAAAAAGATGAAAAATATTGTAAAATTATAGCAATAGCTTTTTCCTCCTCTATTTTCTAAATTTTCTGTAATAGGATAATATATTCTGCAGTGGTTTTTTCATAAGGTAGAAAGAAAGGATCTGGACAAATAAGCAGGTGGGAGAGAAACTGGAATTTAAAGGCACATCAGTGAGCTCCTAAGTCCCAGGTGAAGCGCTTTCCATCTCAGGATATTAGGCAACTCGGCCACCTTGGATCATTGGTATCCGCTAAACAAGGAACCAAAGTTTAGAACACAGGGGCCTCCTGGTAAGATGGTGCACTTCCCAAAATAGAAGAGTTCTGTTGTTGTTATTAAAGCCTACAGCACAATGATAATAAACTAAATGTCAAGTACATCGTATCACAGTATTAATATTAAAAAGGGTTAACAGTTAATAAAATATACTGGTGCTGCTTCACTACTAGTGTGGAAACAAAAGCCAGCTGCCTGTCTGAGCAGCCTGGAAACCACAGGAAGTGCAATTGTCTATGGTTGGTTGGTGAATTGAAATAAAACACTAATCACCTAACACAGTTTTTAAAATATCTCAAAAATACCACGTTGGGCTAGACACTGAATTTAGCAGCTGAGAATGCTTGACAATTAATCACAACATCCACAATGACATCAGAAACCCTGTCACAACTGACAGATTTTTCCCTTCTTTGAAGACTCTCAGCCATTTCAAATCAGAATGGCCAGCGAGCCACTGTGAACAGTATTGTTCTCTCAGAAGGCAAATTCATATTGCAGAATTTCTGGCTCTTTACTCCTGGCATTTTTTAAAGCATGCAAATGCCTGCCTTCAAATACAGTTGCTAAAACTAACACGAATTAAGCTTCGATGTGCCTTTTGCAGTACCGAGCACAGCTGAGAGCTGCGTATACCTGAACGCCTGAAAGCATGCTTCACAGCAGTGAACTTGCACATTCCCTTCACCCATTTCGGTGGTCAGTGCCCCCTTTTCTCTACGGCAGATGGAATGGCAATAGGCCCTACAGTTTATACACACTAGTTTCCAGGGAGCTGGAAAAATGGAAAGAAAATGCTGATTCTGCGGATGTACTTCAAGTAGACTACCTGGAATCTGACTCATTTTTCAAACTAGTGGGATATTTATTCCTGGCTTTGACGGTGACTTCTACGAAGCTGTCACAGTTAACACTGGAGAGGGGATAAGAATGGCAGTGGTGAGTAATCTGTTCGAGCCTAAAACTAGACATCCGTTAGCTAACGGGTCTTTGTGGAAGTCTGACATACTGCATCTCGCACAAAGTGGCCCTGAGATAATTCTGGAAACGTCCAGCCTGAGGACCATGAAGTTGGCTTTTCAGAGCAGATGATGCCGGGGAGGTGGCTGCTGGTCACACCAGCTTTTTCCCCTGGGGCTGACTGAGTGCTGACTAAGGCGGTCCTCCCGCCCGGCCAGCTCAGCCAGGGCTTCCCCGAGAGCCCCTCCCGCTCCAGCGCTGCATCCCCCTGTTCCATGCTCTGATTATAAAACAGGGCTTCACAAAGTCCAGCGACTACCCCGGTTCTTAACATGCACCACTCACTTTGCCTTCACTGCAAAGACCTGGAAACAACTTCCAGCTGTTTACACAGATGATTAAAAGGTGGGCTGCTGACAGTTTCATTCTCTAATATCCTAAACTCAGCTAATTGTTAGTTGCTCTTGCATTAATTAACTCCTTATATTTCAGGTAAGAAAAAAATCTTTTCTAAAAAGAGTTCTGAAATAACTGTTTAGAAAAAGTCTTCAGTAAAGAGAATGATGGACACAGGGACAGGGATGTGTTTAAGCAGCACAAACACAAATGCAACAGCCTCTAACAAAACCCCACCCATTTCCAACCAGTACTTGGGGCTGCTGAGGCCAGGAAGCGGCTCACCGGTGGCAGGAGGAAGCCACCAGCAAAGCCCCAGGGCTTGGTTTCGCTGCCACAGGTCACTGAAGGGACTGTTCATTTCCACTCACCCTCTGCGTGTTGAGGAAGAGCAGCAGGGAGACACACTGCCAGCTCCTCTAAGATTCGGGACACAGGAAAGGCCAGGGTTCCTCATCAGGGTTCTCAGAAATGCTGCATTTTCCAAAGAAACGCAAGTCTTAATTTTCAGACTCACATTTCAAGAAACAGTTCACAGGCTAATTGACCACCTAATAACAAGGGTCAGAAATCAGGTTAATAAAAATAGCACAGCCCAGGTCGATGTGGCTCGGTTGGTTGGAGCGT